GGCCCAAACCTCTGCCCTTTGGGGCAGGCAATGGCATAAATGCACAGATGAGTGGTGCCTGTAAGAGAGCAGGATTACATTGCGTGCTAAACGCTGACCTGAAAACAGCTAAGTGATCTGAGCAAAAGATATGCAAGATTGCTGCGACGGGATTCAAAGGAGTTGCAAGAAGAAGATAGCGTTCTTTATGCATACTAACAAACATAATTTTCTCGATAGAAAACAAATTCTTTCATACTTTTGCACGACTAAATTACGTGGTATTGCCGCGGTACCCAAATTCACAGACGCAGCCAGGAAGGTGACAACTCCTCGACGTGGTAGGGTCACGTCGAAGTACCGGCAACTTTCTCACCCGAGAGAGCACGCTATTTTTCGTGTTCTACGACCTGCCGGCAGCTGCCACTTCGCAAATTTCAACTGCCGGCAAGATGGGAATGGGAAAACTGCTTCACCTATGTTTAACCAGCAAAATTGATGGCAAGCGGTATCAAAACAGAGTAAGTTTACTACCTTTGAGAGTGGTTTGCAGATCTTGATCATCGCAGTGCCATTCATGGCTTGCATCTCAAAGCATTTCAGAATGGAACGCACACTTACGTTTATGACCGCAGAAAACATAGAAACGAAATAAGGACAGTTGAAGTTGTCCTTCGGTACTTAAATGGTAGAGAAATTGAGCAAGTGGGGAGGAAAGGCAAGCATACCTGTCAATGGTGCCCCATTTAACGCCTTCCATTTAGATGTTCATATGGGAAACTTTGAGGACATTGGTATTATAGACGGTAGTATCTATTTTCATGATCTCTTGACTGAGGTAGAAATTTTTTGGCGTACCAAAGGATTGAATTGGACCTTGAAAGAGGAGCCAGTCTATCTTGTGAGGTATGACATAACTTACATGATCTCAGTGTGTGGAGTTCACAATGCAAAGCTCACTAATGCTTTTTCAACTTCGAGAGTTGAATCATCGAATCAAAGCATGTTCGATCGTTTCAAATTTGTTTGAACGAGATATATGAGAATTGTGTTTGTAATAAGTAAAGATATAAACAATATGAAAGTTAGACAACTAAACAATCGCAGAACTGGCTTTGAGTAACAGTCACTTTGGCTTCTAAAAGAGAGTTTATCCGACAATAAGACTAGTTCCCATGCGACTTTTTATGATGATTTCTCGGTTAATTTTTGCAGCGATAAAATAGTAGAGGAGAATTACATGGCTGAGGTTGCCTGATGAATGCACCTTATGGTGCAGCAGTAACAAAAATAGTGCCGCAATTTCACCCATAAATACGAAACGCGGCCATGGTTGGCCTTCGTTAGCCTTTAGTTTGAGAGCCTACTTTTCATTACTTTAATTTTTACTTCCTAAAGATTTTGATTTCAAATTTATGCTACATAGTGCTGTTTTCTCTAAAAGATGATTCCTTTTAAGCTCGTAGTTGTCTTCCTGCGTTAGGACGTTCCATAAGTTTGTAGCGTTTTTATAAACCAACAGAATCATCAATTTACAATCGACTTCAATCAATATCATAATTCTCAATAGCGCACAACCTTTTGGCACATTCTTGTTAGCTTCTCAGTCTAAATTTTTCAAAAGGCAGCGCGCCGGATTCCATGAAAGTCATCTAACTAGCGCTCAAATTACTGAGATTGAGAAGCTCATAGGGTTTGCGGAGATCAGAACAGAAGATAGTTTGATAAAGTGGGATTTAAAGAGTACATTAGGTACTGAAGTACCTTTCACTCAAATCTTGCAGGACAGTTTTGAGGACGTTTGCCGTATGACGCCATGTTCGTCATGTAGAATAACTGCTGAATCTGTCTATTGAGCTTTTTTCGGCAGGACCTGGTAACGTGAAGTTGGATTGCTTACAATATGGTTGACCATCGCCTATCCGTCTAGCAATTTTCAGTGCAGAGCGTTCCCCGAAAAGTTTAGTTCAGGACACCCTGCTCAGCCTCTGATCATTTGTTTTTATCATTTGTCTCATAATGATGTGCGAGCGCCATGTTCCATAATCGAAGAAAATCTATGCAAAAACGCTTCTATTCATTAAAAAAAGGGCTTTAATGTCGAGATTGCTCCTTTTTGCCTTTGAAAATTTCCATCCTTTTTGCTTCTAAAAATTTCCGTCTTTGGAAGCCAGGAAATCCGAGTAAACCAGCTTTTCACCGGAATAAGTAGGCATATTTCAAAGAGCACAATCAGCCTTTCCAATGAAATACGTACCTTGCCGCAAATCAACCTCTCCTTAAAGATGTGAAAACGAAATTGGAAACGCTGCGAACTTATGGAACGACCTAATATTTTAAGGATTGGTATTAAAAAGGCACCTTGCAAATTGAAAGAACCAAAGTTTTTAGAGTTTGCAGTTGATTTCGTAACTGGAAATCGAAGGTATTTTACAACAATGAAATGCACACGAATTAAAGGAATCTTCGCGCTGTTATGCTGCATCTACGTCAAATGCTTCAGTCGTTAATGTTCGTCATTTGCTGCGATCATTTTTCAGCAAAATCTGCAAGGCTGCACTAATGTTTATGTGCACTTACGCGCACACATCAGAATTTATAGTATTCTTTTATTCTTCCTCTTCTATTCTTCTTACTTCAAGAAAATGAGATTCAATAATACTACAATAAAATCATGGCACACGGCGTGGACCTCAACACTGTCTTGCGTTATTCTCTTCCCGAATGCTAGCTTCTCCTCGCCTTGCTGATCCTTTCTTCCACATTAAAGCGCTGTCTTCTTTTTGAGTATCGAATGATAAGAATTGATCCGTGAAATGAAATTTTTATGGGAAGATTACGTGAATATAAATTCAAATGGGACCCACCGATTCCAGTGTAATTGCGCAATCAATGGCATCAAATCGCATCGAAGATATTGTCATTTTAATAAAATTGAATTAGACGAATTCAGAGCAGAGACAACACGAACAGACTTGCTTTTCATTGACGCCAGCCATTACGCAATCGCAGCATGTGCGTATCTCACCTCGCAAAAATGATTCAACATCATTAGGCAAAGTTCAAACTATGTACATCAAAAATTCGATGGCGATTCTCAAGCTGGCGATGAATGCACGACGCTAGACCCGCGAACTCCCGCTCTATTTGTAATGCGTTGGACCCGCCAAATCAAGGAGGTGATTCTATATACAGACTCGGATATCGTGTTAAGGTATGTAAGTACCCTCTCCATCAAGACAAAACGCAAGCATTTCGGGCACAAATCGGTCGTCCAAAATAAGAAGAAGTAGCAACGGTTTTTGCGACGGGTACACGCTGTGCGCCTTTGGGCACGTTATAACAAAATATTATAAACAAAAGAGCTATCAGCATTCACAATCATTATCAGCAGAACCTTGCAGAATCAAACCTTGTGGGCGGGAGTTAAATCCAAGAACAAACCGGATAATGCAGTGCTGAGTACAGTTGCTAAATTCGAACAGTACACAGTCAGTAAAGGCTGCAACTTTAGGCTCGTCAGGAAACGAGAAAGCTCAAAGAGTGCCAGTGCACTTCAACTCATAAACAGATCTTCGAGCCATTTTCCTCAAAAAGAGTATTGGCGATGCAGCAACAATAACCGCTCAAAAAATTTCACGTCGCAGACCATCAGCGGAATCGAGATGCACGAAAGCCGAATCTGCTTGACTCGAGATCATCAGAAATACTATGTAAAAAAGAATCAAATCAATTCACAACGGGAAGTGAACATCCGACAAGACGAAGAAGGAATTTTACGCTGTTATGGACGAATACAACAAACAGATGTACTAGTAACGGCAAAAACACCAATCTATTTTGCACCCAAAATTATTTTGACACGGCTTATCACCTCCGAGTTTCACAGTCATTATCGCCGCAGTTGCTCATACTATGTTTGGTATCCAATACGCCTACTTCGTATTGGATGCCCAAACTCAGATAGCAAGTGCGAAGCTGTATTCAAAATAGTCCCATGCCAAAAAAATGAAAAGTGTTTTCCTTTTACCTATCCTGACATGGAGGCAAGTGACGAGAGTACAACGTGCGTGTATATTCGAACACGTAGGACTCGATTATCTCGGATTTTTGGTGGCTTGACAACCACGACACCCATTAAGGCATATGGATGCACATATCAAATAACGCGACTCATACATCTACAGCTCGTTGGTAATATGACGACTAGATCATTTCCAAACGCATTGAGAAAATTTTTCTTGCAAGAATATTATCTGCAACGCACCAACAGAGTTGGTGCGTTGCAGATAAATAGCCTGTTGTGAGAGCGAATCCTTAAAGACGCTACAAAAAATATGGTGCACAGTGCTGAAGTAGAAAGCAAGATAGCTCAGCGAGAGATAAAGTGAAGCCACATAACGTCTTATGCACCCTGGTAGGGTGGAATTTACGAGGGGCGTTTCCGCTCCATCAACTCGCTGTGCCAAACGCTTGGAGTATGCACTATCACACTTAACTACCTCAAGACGATGCTCACAGACAGAAGCGGTTTTGAATACGACCTCTTACCTATAAGGAGGAATAATGGGAAGAACAACCGCACCACTTCCATCTACAGAGTTTGTCTAAAGCAAGGAGTTTCTGGAATATTTTGTGGGGAACATAGGCAAAGAAGGTCAGGACAGAGTTTACCACATGCCGGAAAATGCACAACAGTTGGCAATGCAACGTAAAGCAGAAGCTGCTTTGAAGACATCAATCAACTTAACCGAGCGATTTCGCAAATCTGGAGTGAGCAGTTCCTCACTAGTCTAAACAAAGAGAAGAGCACAAAGTCTGGATGAACGAGAGGCGCAAAACGAAGATTTTACTCAAGGAAGAAACATCGTGCTTCCTTGGGGCGAGTACAACCTGTGAACACATGGAAAACGGCGCGTAATACGAGTGGACGATTCTCCGCAGAAGATATTGGGAGGGCTTTCACCCAGTAAGCGCAGTTTACAACGACCAATAAATCGAGCTGTACCCTTGTAAACTGACAGTGAGTGTTCGTACTGTTCCCGTACGATTTCTTGATCCAATACAAACCTCGCGAATAAGGTTATTTATTAACAACACAAAGCACATTGAACTAATGCGGATTAAATACATCAGAAATATATTCAACAAATAACTCGTAAGAATTACGTTACCTTACCTTGACTTGTTACCGGGCTCCTAACCTGAGGGGCGAGGCTGGTTTTCCCATCGTACGTGCAGGCCCCGACTTCCCTTGGCTCCCCCTTTGAATAGTCTTGCCTTTCCCAAAACATAAAGATAAAGGAAGATCTTGAAACATAAGGGTAAACAAAGACGTCCGCCATGAGAATGCATGGCGCGTAAGTTGCCGGGTAAATCATGAATCGAAGGATTCATGACACTCCCCATGCGCAAAAGAGATTTGTTGTTGTTGTTATTGTACAATGATTAATTATTTAGTATGTTACAAAAATAAATCTACATAAATGACAAACAATGAAATTTGCATAAATCTACAATACACGTATATACATATGCACTGCGTATTTTATGCAATAACGGAGAGTCGATTCGTCGTTGACGAAGATGACGTCCGGGTCGCGAGTGGCTGTTGCGTTCTCTTTTTTCTTGTTTTGTTTTTTTTTTGTTTTTTTTTGTGTTAAATTGTTATATACTATTGTATTGTATGTCGAGTTTGATGTTAATACTATGTAATGTAGTAAACTTCGTGTAGTTTTTTTTATTGGTTTTCCTTCAATGATAATTGAAAATTGACAATTGATAATTGATAATTGACAATTTATATGATAATTGATAACTGTTAAGTGGCATGATAATTGATAACTGATAATTAATAACTGATAACGATAGCTGATAGCGATAACTGATAACTGATAATTGATAGATGATAACGATAACTGATAACTGATAACGATAACTGATAACTGATAACTGATAAGCGATAACTGATATGATGACTGATAATTGAAATAATATGATAAGTGACAATTGATTAGTGATAGTAGCTGACAACTGATACATGATGAGTGCTAGCTAAGTGGTACATATTAAATGATAAATGGTACGTTGATTCATTGAGATAATGATAATGGTACAAATGACACATGATTATGACATTATTACTGATAATTACCTTAACATTTGAAATTGGCTCACATTTACCTTTGCCTTAATGAGAGAATTGCAATAACATGATGATGAAGGAAGGTGAAGGTGTTTTTTCTTTTGCCATTCCCTTGGCTACTGGTTTGCCGTGGTCGTCGATGTTCGTATATCGCGTTCATGAGTGATTTCTATTGTCTTTTGATTTTGTCCAGTTCAGTACCTTTTCTATCTTCTTGATTGTTCTATCTTCTTGATTGTCCTGAAAAATAGGCAATAAACGTTTTGTTTTTTTTGTTCTTATTTTAGTACCTTTTGTATGTTTAAGTGAATCTCGTTAAGTTGTTGAACATTAATAATTCCGCAAAGCGGTAAAATCTTTGTCGAAAGGTTGTGTATTTGCCAGTGTTTTCCCTTGCAAAGTGCGCACATTGGTTTATTTGGAACAGCATGCATTTTTAAAGGATTTCTTGCTATTTCCAATCTTTGAAATTTCCTTTCCCAGGTTATGGTTAGGTTGCATATGTCATCCTATAAAATAGATGAGGATTTCTTTACCGTTTCTTGATTTCATAAGTGGTCATACCATGAGAGCTGTAAACAACTCTTCTAACGACCCTCTCGTTGAGTTGGAGGAGTTGATCAGGTGATGAAGGGGAAGAAACAGCTACTATTTGTTCTTCCTGGCTTTTTTGTTCCATGTCTGTAACTATATTAGTTACTCAGCATTTCCAAATATCTATTTGAGAAGTTGAGATAACATGCGAAAAGGGTTTTCCAAAGTTGGGAAACCGAAGTTCAAAAAATTAGAAAATTTGAATAAAAATTTGAATAAATTGTAAGATTGGCCGTTTGCCGCGAATGTACGAAGCTTGTGATCGTGAATGCTGATCTGACTTTGTCTTTGTTTTGTTTCCGTTCGAACCCGCGGAGCACTTGCTTAGATAGATCGCGCTGATAGCTATCTGCCAAGAATGTTAGCACGGCCAACATGCTTTTTGTATAGAGCATGTGATTTTGTAAATCAGTAAACTCAAATTGAGTGGTTCATTATTTTTTGTAGCGTATTACTTTTACAGATATTTTCAATAACAGAAGAAATGAATTTGAATTTATTAATATCATATGAATTGAGGATTTTCGAAATGTTTTGTTACCTTTGGTGTCATTTTACCTTGTATTTCAGCGTTTTTTCTCTTGAAATTTTTTAAGAATTACTTTTATTTCTTGTCCCAAAATGGGCATTCAAGGGATCCATAATTTAAGATTGTTATAGGGTACATGATATGTATTGCATTGCCAATCCTTTAGTTACTTTTAATGGTTTTTCATCAATGCATTGTGGTTAGAAAAATTTCAGTTGCTATGGTTGCCAACATTAATGATTTGAAATTATTGTTCTGAAAAAAAGCATATTATTTGTTTGGGGTTTGGTAGGTACGCTCAATGAGAGTTGATTTCATGGCATTATTTTCAAAAATTTTATGTGTAGTGGGTAAATATGTGTTATCTCAGGAGGGAACTGCTCTGTAGCATGTGTTTTGGTTCCCTACTTGCAAATTTTGAGCATTATGGGTCAACGATGTCATCGCCATAATGGTGTTCTGTGCGCTAGTTTCTTTGTTGTTGTGATGATCGCGTGGTTTTTGTTTTCCTTGACTGTTCTCCGCAAGAATATGCGTTGCCCTTTCGAGTAAACGATTTTTCGCTGGACATTATTTCATTTTGGTCCCTGTGCGCAATATTCTTTGTCTGTTTTAACAGACTCGCCATGTGAAGATTTGACTTTTTCATTTTTCGTATTTTCTTTGATTTTTTCGCGAATTCTAGGGGAATAAGCATATTCACTGGACGTTCTACCATTAGGTTTTGCCGTTTCAACTTTACAAATCTGATTTTGCCTTTGTTATTTTCTACTAACTTTACTAATGACCTTAAGTTCAATTCTCCTCTTGATTTATTGTCTCTGTAGCGAGTATCGCTTTTCCTTTTCCGGGATGTCTTCGAAAATATTGTTTTCGATGTTGTCTCTTCTTTTTTAGTGATTTCTGAGTTTCAGAAAGTATTGTTAATTTTCATATTTTCCAAAGATTGCTTAGACCCCGGAGCTTAGTATCGCTCCAGTTTTTTCATAAAATCTCGCCTGAGTTTTCGACGTATTCGACGGAACGTATGACTCATCAATGCCTTGTGTTGCTTTGTTTTGAGGCAGACGATCGATGTGCACTTGGGGGACAAAAGTCAATAGGGCGCGAAATAATTGATTCTTTTGTATATATCTTGAATTTACCATTTGTTCGCATTCCGCTACAATTTATTTAAACACGATTGTGTTCAAAATTACGAATAGCCGTTTGTTTAAGAACCAATTTTAGCGCTCCCATGAGATTTTCGAGGAAAGTTTATTTCTAAGGGAACAAGGGAGGGGGGGGGGGGGGGGGGAAATAAATCTCTATTCCGTTGTACTTATGCTAAGCTTTTTCTGAATTGTCTTTGTTAATTCCTTTTTGTTACATTGAGGCATTATCGAAATAATAGTCTTACTTGTTGTCTACGCGTCGAAACTCATCGTGCGCGTCCAGAGTATAGCTCTTTTTTCCATGCATGTTGCCGGAACAATTTTTTTTGAAGTTTTTACTTTAGTTATTGTGCGGAATCATCCCGCGAGATCGATTTGTACAAGTTGGACTGGATGGTAGCGCTCGTGTGCGTCAATTTGACAAAAAAGAAAATTAGAATTACAGGTGTGATTGTCTATTCTATTTTTTGCCCGTATCGATTTTATTCAAGCAATTTTTTACCACTTGTCGTTTCCGTGATATTGAAAATTCCGACCGTATGTTTTTTTGTTTTTGTTTAAATAGCATAAACGCCTTTGTATTACAAAGCATTTGTTATTTTTTTTCCTCTTCACATTTTTGTGCGATGTGGGCTGATCTCCTTTTGCAACAAGGGTTGTATCCTGCAGGAGACCAATTTTGCCCTGAGATGATCTCTTTTTTTAAGGATTTTTTCCTCGATTTTGGGAACTGTTCCGACTACGATATTTATTTGTTTGTTATATACTTTGGTAAAGTTGCGATTATTGTCGTCGCTGAGAGCGTTTTTAAAACTTGGAGTGATTTCCAAATTGGGTTGAACTTTGTTGTTTTATTGTCAAAGTCTGGGGATTCAAAGTTTACATTCAAAAAATTGATGACTTACGGCGGTAATTCGATTTGCTTCTTTATTTCCATTTTTTGCTATTCCAGTCATTTTTATTAGAGCCTCTTGACATTGCTATTCTATATTCCCCTTTTTTTGCTAGTTTATTAATAACTTCGGAAGTGGTTTCCAACCAATAATCTTTTTTTCTTCTTTTTCCAATGTCGTTAAAAAACATCTTTTATGTTTCCATTTCCTATTATTTCATCGGAGTCAAAAATGTTACTCGTATTCATTATAAAATTGCGTGATTTCCACTTTTTTTTGCTCAAAGCTTGTACGATGATTGATTTTGTTGCCAGAAAGCTTTTTGACTCTTCCATTAACGTGGGATCTTGAGTTAATCCTTCAGCTTCCTACAATATTTTTAGTCTATTATCGAGCAAGTCTTTATCTTGCCTCCTTCAGGTTAAGAGCTGAACAACTTGTTGAAATTCGTCGCCTACACATGATCTCAATTGAAGAGCAACCTTCGCTTGGTGTTTTGAAGCTTGACTGTTTTCTATACTGGTATTTGTTTGAGTTTTGCGTGCCTACGTTATTCTTTCCCTCTTGTGAAATTCTTTTTATTTTCGTGCCTTGTGCATCAATAAATTTTTGCGAGGTAATCTTTGTTTTGAAATTTATTTTTGTTGTTTGTTGCTTGCCTATAATTTTTTGATATCTTGGTGTTTTATTTGGCAATCTGGTGCCCTTCCGGTACCTACCATTACGGTACCATTCCGGTACTCGTACCATTCCGGTAATACTGGTAAATTATAACTTATTTTTTCGTTATACCCTTCCGGTACTCGTCGTTCAAAAAATCTTCCTCTTTTTTTTCTTCTGTACCCTTCCGGTACTTTTGTACCTTTCCGGTACTCGTCGCTTAGATTTCTGTACCCTTCCGGTACTCTTCGTTCAAAACTTTGTACCCTTCCGGTACTTTTCATTAGGACAGCTGCGTTATAAAATTTGTAAAGTGCTTCTATTTTTCTTCAGTTTTCTTGTAAGGTAAGCACGGCGTTAGGTGAGGCTTTGTGCTCCGCTGGGTCCTTCCTGAGCACTTGGCGCTATTTTTTTTTAATTGCCTTGTTCTTACCTTGCCAGTTCTGCCACGCCTATAGCTGATTAATCGGCCATTTTCGAGTTTTGCCGATGCACCATGTTCGTACTGTTCCCGTACGATTTCTCGATCCAATACAAACCTCGCGAATAAGATTATTTATTAACAACACAAAGCACATTGAACTAATGCGGATTAAATACATCAGAAATATATTCAACAAATAACTCCTAAGAATTACCTTACCTTACCTTGACTTGTTACCGGGCTCCTAACCTGAGGGGCGAGGCTGGTTTTCCCATCGTACGTGCAGGCCCCGACTTCCCTTGGCTCCCCCTTTAAATAGTCTTGCCTTTCCCAAAACATAAAGATAAAGAAAGATCTCAAAACATAAGGGTAAACAAAGACGTCCGCCATGAGAATGCATGGCGCGTAAGTTGCCGGGTAAATCATGAATCGAGGAATTCATGACAGTGAGCAAACTTTGGAAACCTTCCCAAGTTAGGTGCCAACCATGCGGTTCAATTTCCGTCCAAGGCGTTCCACAACTACACTGAGCATGAAGAAGAAGAACCTACATTCAGAAAGGCACCGGCGCTCCCCTGACCGTAAACTCAATAAACGGTGACGCCACTCTTGATGTGCATAATGGGAAGGATGGGAGCGAATAACAACGGTAGCTACCAATTACATAGCGTCAAAGAAAGGGTGTCTTTATTGCAACCAACCATCAAAAGCTTACGAAGCCTGTGCAAAGATTTTTGCTTGGAGTTCAACACATTGCCCCGACAGGAGATAATGAGATTTTTTCTACGAAATAATCATTACGAATAGGGAGAAGAGATTCATATAATAAAAACCAGCAACAAGGCAGCAGCTTTTGCAGAGAGATGATGCACCTTCTAGTAATGGTGAGACCCAGAATGCTGAATACGCACTGCCATTATCGTCACCGGGTTGTTGGTGTACTTGCTGGTAATATGTGCTGCTCATTTTATGTGTTCGGAACACCGTTATTCCTTGGATTGGAATCAGGGCACGGCACGAGGTTGTCAAAAGGAGTTTTTGAAAACGAATTTCCCTTTGGTCCCAAAAATTTTTTTACGAATACACCCTTGAACTAAAAAATGGTTCTGTGTTTGTGCGGCGAATAGTTTACCATGAAAAGAAGATGTTTTATCAAAAAAATCTATTCAGAAACTTATCGACAACAATATCGAAAAAAAGTGGTGATCATTCCGGAAATCTACAATGAGGTCAACATTTAAAAAAGCTCAACACATGATGGTGAATCACCTTGTGGATCCCTCGACACCAGTTGAGAGGCAGCACAGAAAAATGAGACCGGAGAGGGCAGCCGACTGCTGCCGCAGCCAGCCGCCAAAGCTGACGTCAGCGCCGCCGCATATGGTAGAGTAGTTACGCTAACCGTCTGAAATCTCTTGCCGAGAGGTTTCCTGCACCTCTTTGCGCTGGTGCGATATCAGCCTCAGGGACAGCTCGATATCATCATTAGGTCTATATCATTCCAAACACCAAAAGATTCTTAGTTTATTGAAAACTATGCAACCATTAAAGCTATATAAGCGACGAATTTTCAAAAGTGCACAAAGTGAAAAAGTGAGAGATCAATTACTTTTTGTCACAACATCAACATATCAAGTAGGATTCGTAAATTCTTGCGCATCTCTTCCAAAAAATCATAACTTCTTTGTATCGCGACGAAAGCACAGATTAAGCTCTTTACAACAGTAGACTTCGATGAAAGTATGACAAAGAGAAACAGTCCCTTGAACGAAATCACTCGGTATTTGGCTTTTTTACACAGGCTACGGAAAATTCTGGAAGTATTTTCTTATTTGGAAAACAAAATTTTGCGCATTACTACAGTACCTTTGCATGAATTTTTTATGATTTTTTTTTCAGTCTTCAAAATACTCCCAATAAAGTCAAGTAATAAAATACCTGGAGATGTAATGAATTTTCCACGTTTCCTTGTTGAGCCTGAGGCTCTTGTTGGAAGCTGTACAAACGGTTATTGATGATCTGCGCTGTTCTCTTTCATATCAGCAAATGTGACATGTTACTTTGGCTCATTCATTTGACCTAAATTGACTATTTAGCTCGCTTCATTACTAAGTCTCAAAATACTAATTTTAACAAACTTTTCTTGTTATTATGTCTCGTGCGTTCTCCTCGATTTTGAATGCCAGAAATAAATTTTGATAAACAAACACTTTTTGCAACTTGTATTATTTCAGCTTTTGGTTATTTTCCGGAATTGAATTTCATGACCGTTTTTTTTGAAAAAAACACTCTGTGTAAATTTGTTCATTTGCTTTTTATCAGAAAATATAAAATTTTTACTGTTTAAGCCTTCATGATTATTGATAATATCGCGCTGCCCCTGAGGCTGATATCGCACCAGCGCAAAGAGGTGCAGGAAACCTCTCGGCAAGAGGTTTCAGACGGCTAGCGTAATTATTCTACCATATGCGGTGGCTGACGCCAGATCTGGCGGCTGGCTGCGGCAGCGTTGGCTGTCTGGGTACCACTTGCACGCCTTCCAAAGGGTTGCACCATCAATCTGAAGGTAAATTTCAAGATACGACATTTAAGGCCAGTGTACAATATCTATACTGGAAAAACCTAATTGAGACTGGATGTAGGTCTAAATGAAAACAGATGCAAACATGCACGTCCTACCTACATCTGCTGACATAAGGAAAGCGGAAGACGCTGGCTACCATGACAGATTTTATTGAGCTGGAAACTAAGCTTTGCAACTGCTTTCATAACTCAACTTTCTTTGAATGTAGCGCACTCAAATTCGAGCAGTATGTACAGCATAGTGTGGGCTACAACTGATAAAAGTTGCTTGAATTTTTAAAACGAATTAGAGAAATTCCAGGCATTTTTCGAAAACCAGTAAATTTCGAGAATTTTTGGGGTTTTGAGGCAAAATAAAGTTGTTAGCAGTCCAAACCATGCACAATCATCCAGAATGTGTATTAATTGTTGCTAGAGGTTGACTTATTCGGCTCGCCCAAAAAAGGAATAAAATTTAGGGCCAAGTCGAGATTTGGCGCCCTCACAATTTCGAAAGGGTTGCTGTACGCAAGGCTGCTGGGGACGACCGTCAGTGACTAAAGAGTCAAAGCCACAAAATTCCCCGAGTCTTCACATATCAAAGTTCTTTGACCTGCTAAACACGAATATTGTATTCATTTGTGGAATTAACGCCTCTTTCCTTGTTTAGGGTGGGACCCTGTATCCTACACTCACAGTAATCTTGCAAAAAAACCCTCATGGCACAACTTCAGTATCGTTCTCGTGATCAGCATGTCGGATAACCCCCCCTATGCCAAGTTTCAGCCGAATCTGTTGAGTTTTATAATTTTTCCCTTCCACCGTATACCTACTGTAACCCTCACTGTGACGTCGGAATTTGGCAGAACAGCAGCTGCGCTTGTAGCTTACGTCGTAGCCAACATTGTGGCAAAACTTGAGTGCACCATGTTGAGTGAGAGGAAAGTTATTGAATGAGTTGCAAAAATTATTGTTAGTTTCCAACCTAATATATGTATACCAGAAAGTTCTATGTATTGAAGACCGTCTCAGCATGCCTTGTGTAGGCATTATCGTGATACTTTAAACGATTGTTAAACCGAACCTGTCGAACCTCGAGTATGCTCAACCATAATTATTGAGAAACCGAAGCGTTTGGAAACAGCCATTTTCAGTGATTAACCCCTCCCCCCCCCCCCACCCACCCACCCAGCTACACATGATTTTGTGCATACTGAGTCAATACTAAACATGAATCACTGAGCCACCTCCATTCAAAAAGCACATTTTGCGATGCTTTCCAATGTCTAAAGCGAATGACGCATAAAGTGCGAATTAGCAAAGCCTTGGAAAACCTTTAGACGCGCCGATTGCAGCCTCGCCGACCCGCAGGCATTGTAGGGCAGAAAAAAGAAACGGAAACCACATCAAAAGACCATATGTGCCTTCGAATTTTCACTACAAGATAGAAGATGAACTTCAAAACGACAAAATAGAGACGAAAGAATCAAAAAAAACCGTACAATTATCCCTTAGTGCAAAGAAATTCCACTCACGCACCCCACGGACAAAACTGAAACAGGCGCTTCGGCGTAAAAGCGGCAACCGGCTGCAAAAGCCGCAACGGACACAGTCTGAAGGCCTCCTTAGACCTTGGGCATACCTCAGCGATTGTTGCCAGTTGCGAGATCTCCACGCAATCTGGTAATTTGTCAAATGTCATCAAATCCAACACTGGCATGTCGCAAATGCATGGTACGCACAATTTTGGGTAAATTCAAAATAGCTTAAGTATTCCCACGTTTAGAATGCTAGCACGATCAGTTTTGGACAACCGGAATACGTGAAATCGTTTCAACTAGATTGACGTAAAGTGTGGCCAAGGCTTTACCCGACGACCATAACGTTCCCAACAAAGCATACCACTTGAGAGTGATCAGTTTTCTACCAAAAAAGAAAGTGAGGAATATTGTCAAAATGAAATGAAAATCTCGAAACAAAGAAAAAAACTCAAAACCAGGAAAAAAAATTTTGCTTACTTTTACTCTGCAAAATTATCAGATATTGTCGAAATCCCGCAT